GCACAAACGAGTAGCAAGGATGGGGCATTTTGGATATTGCAGATATCAGAAATAGTTTTATAAGGACAACTGTATGCATCAAGGCTCCCTATCCCCGACGGTTTCTGGGTTGTGTGGGAAGGACCCCCCTACCACAGTCACTCACTTGTCGATGGTTCAAAAAGCCGTCGCGGAAAGGGGTTAAAATCCGTTTGTATAGTACCTCGTTGTTCCAGTGAAAACAGCCACCATACCTACCTATCATGGCATTTCCATAGCCATTCCGAGATATATTGCCATGCTACTTCCACCATTTCATTTACATGACACACATCATCGTTGTCATATTGCTTTGCATGATCATGTAGCTGACATAGTATTGTGGCTCGGCCATTGTTCATCATTTTTTATACATGTTACGCTAGATCAATTGCACATCCTGGTACACTACCAGAGGCATTCATATAGAGTCATATTTTCTTCTAGTATCGATGTGTAATTTTGAGTTGTAAATAAATAAAGGTGTGATGATCATCATTATTCATTATTAGAGAATTGCTCGAGTGAGGAAATATAAAAAATAAAAAAAGAGAGGCCAAAAAGGGCCCATACAAAAAGTAAAGAAAAAGAGAGAAGGGGCAATGTTACTATCTTTTTCACACTTGTGCTTCAAAGTAGCACCATGTTTTCATATAGAGGGTCTCCCATGTAGTCAATTTCATATACTAGTGAGAATTTTTCATTATAGAACTTGGATTTTATATTTGATGATGGCCTTCCTCAAATGCTCGAGGTCTTCTAGAGCAAGCAAGTTGGATGCACACCCACTTAGTTTCTAGTTTGAGCTTTCATACACTTATAGCTCTTAGTGCATTTGTTGCATGGCAATCCCTACTCCTTACATTGACATCAACTGATTGGCATCTCCATAGCACGTTGATTAGTCACGTAGATGTGAGACTTTCTCCTTTTTATCTTCTCCATATTAATCTCTATCACCGCATTATATTCCACCCATAGTGGTATATCCATGGCTTGTGCTCATGTATTGTGTGGTGGTTGAAAAATTGAAGCGCGTTAAAAAGTATGAACCAATTGCTTGGCTGACACCGGGGTAGTGCATGATTTATACTTTATGTTAAGAAGATGGAGCATGACAAGGCTATATGATTTTGTAGGGATAGCGTTCTTTAGCATCTTTATTTTGACATACATGATTGTTTGTTAGTATGCCTGAGTACTGATGTCTTTATGTCAAATTATAGACTATTGCTTTGAATTACTCGGATCTAAATATCCATATCATAAAATAAAGATTACATGATAGACATGTTAGGTAGCATTCTACATCAACAATTCTGTTTTTATCATTTACCTACTCGAGGATGAGCGGGAATTAAACTTGGGGATGCTTGATACATCTCCAACGTAACTATAGTTTTTTATTGTTCCATGCTATTATAGTACCAATCTTGGATGTTTTATATGCAATTATATATCATTTTTTGGGACTAACCTATTAACCTAGTGCCCAGTGCCAGTTGCTATTTTTTTTGCTTGTTTTTGGCTTTTCAGAAAATCAGTACCAAATGGTGTCCAAACGCTACGAAACTTTTTGATGATTTTTTCTGGACCAAGAGAGACCCTAGAAGGTTCGGGAGAAGACCAGACGAGCCACAAGGGAGCGAAAAGCTCACCAGACGCACCCTGGGGGGCGCCCCTGGGCTTGTGAGCCTCTCGTGGCACATCTTGACCTAATTCCACCTCTATAAATTCTCAAGTATTCGCAATACATAAGAGATCTGCCCGAAACACTTTTCCCGCCGCCGCAAGTTTCTGTTCTTCCGAGATCCCATCTGGAGGCCTTCTCCGATACTCTGCCGGAGGGGGAATCGATCACGAAGGGCTTCTACATCATCCTTGCTGCCTTTCTAATGATGCGTGAGTAGTTCACCACAGACTTATGGATCCATAGGTAGTAGCTAGATGGCTTGTTCTCTCTCTTTGATCTTCAATACAATGTTCTCCTCGATCTTCTTGGAGTTCTATTCGATGTAATCTTCTTTTGCGGTGTGTTTGTTGGGATCCGATGAATTATAGGTTTATGACCAGATTATTCATGAATTTAACTGAATCTTCTCTAAATTCTTTTATGCATGATTGTTATAGCTTTGTATTTCTCTCCGATCTATCCGTTTGGTTTGGCCTACTAGATTGATTTATCAAGCAATGGGAGAGGTGTTTTGTGATGGATTCAATCTTGCGATGCTCAATCCCAGGGACAGAAAGGGACATGACATGTATTTGTATTGCTGCCATTAAGGATAAAAATATGGGGTTTATTCATATTGTTTGGGTTTAGTTTGTCAACATCATGTCATCTTGCTTAAGGCATTACTCCATTTTTATAGCTTAATACCCTAGACGCATGCTGGATAGAGGTCGATGGGTGGAGTAATAGTAGTAGATGCAGGTAGGAGTCGGTCTATTTGTCTTGGATATGATGTCTATATACATGATCATTTCCTTGAATATCGTCATAACTATGTGCTTTTCTATCAATTGTCCAACAATAATTTGTTCACCCACCGTATGCTTTGTGTTCGAGAGAGAAGCTTCTAGTGAAAAATATGGTCCCTGGTCTACTTTTATCATATATAAAATCCAAAAATACCTTGCCGCAATTTTATTTCCTTTATTTTATTTGAAATTTAATATATCTATTTACCACTACGAGATTTGATCCTTGCAAATAACCGCCGAGGGGATTGACAACCCCCTTGTTCGCGTTGGGTGCAAGTATTTGCTTTTGTGTGTGCAGGTGCTACTAACAAGGTTCCATGTGGTTCTGGTACTGGATTGATAACCTTGATTCTTAACTGAGGAAAATACTTATCTCTACTGTACCGCATCATCCTCTCCTCTTCAAGGAAATTCCAACGCAACTCACAAGTAGCAACCCCGGGTGCCTGGACCACTTACCCCCGGGTGCCCAGACACCCCAAAACATGCATGCGTGCAACTAGGGTTAAATGACCCATGTACCCTCATCTCCTCCCCAATTCCTCCCTAGGCTATAAGTACTTCGTCCCCAGCTCAAAATTGGGGTTAGCAAAGTATTTGAGACTATTTGAGAGAGCTTTGCTCCTTGTATCTCCATCTTGGGGAATTAAGACCTCCTTTGGGAGAAGGATCCCCATCATAGGATCATCAAGACCTCCTAAGAGAGAAGGATCTCTCTAGATCATCAAGACCTCATCTCCAAGGAGTGGGAAGAACTTACATTTGTTCTTGTTTTCCTTTGATTGTTCTTGTATTTTTGTGGATCTCATGTATACTACTCTAGTGGATGTGTAATTGGGTTTTGTTTGAGTGATCTTTTCTTGTTGTTCTTGTGAGTTCATCCCTTCCCCCCCTCCAAGTGTGAAAAGATCTCCACTTAGGGTTCCACCCTACAACAAAAACCAACGCACACAAAAGAGCGCCCAACCCATTTATATATGACTAAGCATGAGAACTACAAAAATATATTATAAGAGATGGAGAAAATGTATATCAACCCGTTATTGTTTTGGTGGGGGATTTGGGGGGGGTGGGGGGTGTATGTCAACCTAATAAGATAAAGTCAGTATGCAGGTTCTATATCAACTGAACAATGCGTCAAAAGCATGTTGTGCACACTATGCAAATCAAAATTCGATGATACCCTTTCTCATGGACCATGACGGGAAACCTGAACTAAACACGCAAATCATTGCGAAAGCCGGAAGGTAACATTGGATTTCGTTCTAATGAACCACTATGTCGGTAATTTTTTTCCAAATAGATACAAAAGATTTGCCTCGTATATTAATTAAGCAAAAAAGAATTATCCTGCTGATTAACAAAAAATCTGGATGAAAACTGTTACAAACTTGACCACATGCGAACTACTCCTTAATCAGAAATCAGCACGACCGCAAAGGTGGACGTGCAATTGTTCTCGGCACTTTGCTTCCGCAAACGCCCGATAAATGGAATACAACGTCAAAAAGGTACCATCGAAAACACATTGGCAAAGTTATTAATCACGCCAACCCAAGAAGATAAGAACCATCTGTCAAGCGGACACATACGCTTCCTGCTGAGAATCAATCAAAAACACATTGGCAAAGACATCACGACCACTAGAAAAGATGACAACCATTCATCAAGTAGTTGCGGACGTTTCCCTACCATAATAAACAGATCCACGTTTTGCAGAGTTACCAGATCCATGTATTACAACTTTGAATTGATTTCTCTTCTCCCCTATCCACGACATGTCCCGAGTTTTGCTACATCTGCTACATCTACAGGACACACCCCTCCGTAGAATCAATCAGTAGCCTTTTTTTCCGTAAGCGTGCCATTTTTGGACGGACGAGATTTGCCTGCTCCCTTCCCATGCTCCCATCTGTGTTCCCGCATACATGGCTTAATTTGATTGGAACAAAATAAGTCCGGCCCCATCCCCTTAAAATCAAGGGGGGAGATGATTAGATTAGAAAGGAAAAAGAAAAAAAAACAGCCGTAGGATAAGGTGGGAGCACGGATGGAAGCATGGGAAGGGAGTAGGCAACCCGGATCCCTTTTGGACATGTCCTTTTTTTTGTGCGGTTGGACATGTCCCTCTGACATCAGTAGTTTTTCTAGTTTTGGCTACAGCCTGACCTCTCTATAAACTTGGCACTTGTGTTATGAGTTGAACCAGCAATCCGGGAGTCAAATCTCTAATGATCAGGAAAAAAATCTGCTTTTATACGTTGTCGTCGTTTTTTCCTTTCAAAATGGGTATACATGCAACTAGTTTTGCTCTTTTACTAAGAAAAAATAACGGGACCATATCTACACATTTCATTTCTTAAATCCGTCCTTTATTCTTTTCCCAACAGTGTTGCCTACCGGATCCGGATCCTCCATCGCAGCCACCATGCGAGGGCCGTTCGAGCTGTGCTCGGGCCCACTCTTCAGCGCCATTAGTCTCTCCTTCTTTAGCACAATCACGCCCACCTCTGCATGCATACACATGGGAGAAGCAAGGAAATAAGAGATGGCTTAAGAAAAAGGTAGGAGCATCAAACGGAACAGGGGCCAGGGCACGAGGAGAAACAGAGATCAAATACGTTATCGATCGGCAGCACACGTTTATGTTTAGGTAAACGTTTCACGACGGGGCACCGGCCGAAGCTTTGGCTGGTCGTGTCCACGCGCGAACGTACCCACCAACTCACCTAGCGACACGTAGGATGGGGGGGGGGGGGCGCCCACGTGCGTCTTCTTCCTTCTTTTTCTCTTCTTCTCGTCGCTCGTCTCTCTCTCCCCCCGCTGCCATGGTCAACCTTCGTCGCCCGGAGGCCTCCCAGGGCGCCGCCGCCATGGTAATCTGCCGATCCGGCTACCCTTGATCAGATCTGTTCAGATCCGCGCCACCGGAGCTCTGCCTGCCTCGTCGGTCCCGACCACGTCTGAGCTACAACCAACCACGCGCGGAGCTGCAACCGTTGAACCTTTTCCCTCCCAGAACGGCACCGCGGCAACGATGACCATGGGCAGGCGTGCAAGCTCGAGCAGCAGCAAGTAGCTGTGAAAATGGTTGTAGCAAATTCCAACGCCGTTTGTAGCAAAACCAACTATGGTTGCAGCAAAACGATGTTATCGTCATCGCGGGGTTCACATCTAAGACATTTAGTTTGAAGCTTTTTTCAATGTCGGTTGTAGCTTTTGTAACCGCCGGTTGTAGCTTTTTCGTTTGTCGTCCATGGCTTACGGCTCCATAGTTGAAGCTTTTTTCATCGTCGGATGAACCTTTTTTCGTTGCCGGTTGTAACTTTTCTTTGGTCGTTCACAGTTTCCCGTCGTACGAGTTGAAACTTTTTTCATAGCCGGTTGAAGCTTTTGTAGTCAGCGGTTGTAGCTTTTCTCGTCGTCGGTTGCAGCACTGGGCATCTCCCCGGGGCTCGATTTTTTGTTGCAAGCGGAGGATGAGCGCCGGCGAGCACGCCGGTGAGTTCCGGTCGTCGCCACCGGAGCTACAACGGTTGCCACGAAAGCTACAACCGCAGGGGTGGGCTGTTGCATGGGCGAAGCCGGTGGCGAGGACGGCCGCCGAGGGCTGGGACCGACGACCAGGGCGGTCGGTGAAGACGGTCGGCGAGGACGGCAACCAGAGACGAGGAGGGGAGGCCGGGGCGGGGGGAGGGGGGGAGGGGGGCGGCGACGAGGGAGAACTCGTGCGGCCGGCAAGACATGGGATTCCTTTTTCTCGTACGTGCTTGCGAGAGGAAGAAGATGATCTAGTTGGATAAAGATTCAATGGCTTGGGACGGACCGATCTGACGGTTAGGGTGCGACCGGCCGAACGCGCCGGCGCCCAGCATCGCCCTTATGTTTATCTGGGTATCCAAGAAGTAATTGATCTCGGCGTTGAACCAGCAGGGCAGAGTAGGGATGTGCGCATGGCTGCATGCGCGTGTGTACGTACCGGCGGAGGGGGGACGGGGGTGGTGGAGAGCGACCAGAGGAGGAGCCCGCAGAGGAGGACGACGACGGGGACGAGGTGGACAAGGGCGTGGGCGAGGTTGGCACGGGAGGCGTCGAGGGCCTCTTTCTTGGCCGTGTCCGAGTGCGGGTCGTACACCGGCAGCTGGTTCACGTCCATCCCCGCATTCCCGCTCGGCCCACCAGGCACCGACGACGCCGCCACCGCAGAAGACGACGACGACGAAGAGGATGACAGGTAGTAGCTCGACGACCGATGCATCTCGGTCGATCTCCGGCCGGTCGGCCTCTTCTCCTCGTGCCTGGCTTGGCTGCCGAGGGAGATTGGGACATGCGCCGTTAGCAATTGGCTTACGTGGTGGCACTAGCTTTGCGCTTTGTGCATGCAGCCCGAAGTTTCTTGATGGGCTGCGCACGGTTGTAGCCCGCGTCTTACGCTACGGCTGCGATATACTTACAGCTTATTCTTCTCTTCTTTCCACATAAACAAATGTTCGAAAAGAAACACATTTTTAACACAGACAATCGTAGATGCTCACATACACTCACATTTATGAATGTATGCAAGCACACATTATTCCTATGCGCATCTTTGAGCTACTGTGGTTGCACAACATCTTGAGATTGACGAAGTCATCGTAGTCGTAATCAACAGAAATGTCTCCTCCCGCTAAAAAAACATCGCCGAAAAGAATGAAATAAATCCAGAAAAATGCAACCACCAATGTCAAGTCTAAAACATAAACTCTATTGGGTTAATTCTACCACAAAAAAACTAAACGTTACCGTCTGAGCTACATTCAGTTCGTAAATAAACACATTTTTAGGAGACATATCTGATAGAAGTATTAACTAATATTAAATCTAGACAATAAAAAACACATAACAAACAATCAACATCCTAGATGCCTCGGTGTTTGTCTGTCACATGTTAGAAAATTAGGGTTTTGAAGCTAAACGGTCTGTCCTCTATTCCTCTGCCTTATCGATGGTGTCGCTCACAATGCATATTAAGGTTAGAGGGTGGGACCTTATATAGACTCTAAATTTCAGATATTTTAATCTGTTTCCAATTAGGACTCGTGACTTGTCAAACCAACCACAATAATTAACAACCATTTACCGAGTCCAAATACCGTTAATCAATTAGGTCCCATACACGCATGTGTGAGTCATGCGTCAAGTTTGAATTCAAAATCAAACTCACAGGCTTTAACAATCCATAGAGCCAATCCTACGGACAACCTGGCATTCCGCTCTATATTGTTCCCGGGTATAAGTCCAGTGTATTCATATAAATTCTCTGATGTATTCCAGTATAGCCGTATCGGCTTCCTTAAGTATATTTTCTTAAGTACAGTTCCACATCAAGTATTCCCTGCTATGTCCATGAATACTTCCACACCGAGGTTTTTATTCCGGGTGTATAACAATGTAGTGGACATATAAAAATATTGCAAGCCACAAATTCCTACACCACAAACACATCATCATACAACCTTCATTCATGTTTATCATGCCCTTTTCAAATACTCTCTCCAGTCAGGCTAATAGGATCAACAGTATTGTTTTCCTAAATTTGATTAATGAAATATGCATTGTATACGATAAAAATATGTCACTGGATTCATGTTCGAACAAAGTTTGTGAACATAACATTTTGGCGGCACATAACACATATATTGTCAAGTCAAATCAAGAACCTAAGAGCAAACACACACCC